CCCAAGACACCCAAGGCCCCCAAGAGACCTCCAAGAGGTCCCTGGGAAGCCCTCAAGAGGCCCCAAGAATAACCTAAGAAGCTCCCAAGAGGTCTCCTCATCCTTCTCCTCATCCTCCGTCTTCTGCCTCTCCTCATCCTCCGCTTCCTCCCCCACGTGCTCCCCGAACGGGCGGCTTCCACAACTGCTGGGGGCCAAACTTTGCCCAAACGTGTGGCGTATCCTGCAAGGCAGTTGGCGGCGGTGATTCGCCGTAGGCATCTTCGATCCGCCGCCCCCAGAGGCTTTCCACAGGGGTGCAGAGCGTGCCAGACGTCTGGGGGTTTGGTTCTCCTCTAAAGCACCCCTCACTGGGGCGTCGGCCCAAACCGCCGACCACCCGGAGAGCCCGTAGATCCGCCCAAAAACTCCAGGATGGCCTAAACTGCCTCCAAGACGGCCAAGATGGCCCAAGATGGCATCCAAGATTCCTCTAAGACGGGCAAGATGGCCCCAAGAGTCCAAGTAGTCCCAAGATGGCCTCCAACAGTCCCAGATATGCCTCCAAGACCGCCAAGATGGTCCTAGAAAACCAAAAAGATGGCCAAAGAAGCGCCGAACAGGCCCCTAAGACGGCCCAAGAGGCTTCCGAGAGGTCCTCCAGGAAGGCCCGAAGACACCAAAATCATGGATTGCCCCCAGGTGTTTGAAGGAATTTGGCAGTTGCTTCAAACCAGCCTTCCGACGGCCCAAACGGCCCACGAGGCCCCGAAGATTGCCCCAAGATCGCCCAGGAGGCATCCAAGATTGTCCCAGGACAGGCCGAGAAGCTCCCAAGATGGCCTCCAAAGGGCCACAAGACGGCCCAAGAGGCGTCCAAGACGCCCAAGATGGCCTTCAAGACGACAATGAAGCGCGGGCCCCGAGACGGCCCAGTGGCTGCCAAGACGGCGTCAGACGGCGTCAGACGGGCCAGGAACGCCGCAAGACAGCCAAAGAGGTCACCGAGAAGCCCCCAAAAGGCCCTGAAGGTGCCCCCAGAGGCCTCCAAGGAGGCCCCCAGGAGGCCTCCAAGAGGCCCCCCGGAAGCCCCCAAGAAGACCCAAGATCAACCTAAGAAGCTCCCAAGAGGTCTCCCCATCCTTCTCCTCATCCTCCTTTTTCCTGTCTCTCCTCAGCTGGGGGAACGCATGGTCCAATAGCGCGGCAAAACTTTGCCCAAACGTGTGGCCACATGGGCGTATCCTACAAGACAGGGGGGGCGGTGGTGATTCCCCGTAGGTGCCTTCGATAAACCATGATGATACGACATTTGATTTGCGGTGCTGATGGCGATGGCGATGATGGTGATGACCCTCCACGTGTCCCCTGGCACGTCGTGGACTGGTATCAGAATGTGATGCCTGGCTTGATTTCGGTATTTGTTGACGCCCCCCCAGAAGGTGCCCGAGGGGCTCAAAGTGCTGATCCCTTGCAGTTACCCCCTTCACCGCGAGAACCCTTCTGGGCCCTGTGAGCAAGCCCTCTGGGATCTGGAGAGATGGCAAATCTCACCAGACCGCGGGCTGAGGGAGAGAGAGAGAGAGAGACAGCTGTCATATGTTACGGCCCTCAGGGAGCTGGGAAAAAGAGCTGCCACATGTCATAACCATTTGAGGTATTCCTGGATGGTCGCGATGCGCTGCGCTGGCATTACGGCGGGCCTTGCCACAGGCACTGACAGATCAAACTGGCTTTTACATTGTGCTATAATCTCTTTTCTGGCACCTTAGAGCCACGTGAAAAAACGCCTTGCAGGAACAGACCGGGTCTGCGAGCCTGTGATACAAGCAGATCGGTCGAGACGTATGGAACACAACTCGAGGAAAAATCTCGCTGGCGAATGTCGCCACACATCTGCCACACTTCGCAAGCGATCCGACGCATCGAATGACAAGTCTTTGCAGACCCAGGTGAGCCGTCTGGCTCGAGGCAAGCGAGCGGGTAGATCACGCCTGCGTGAACGTCCACTTGCGACACGGCATCGCTGTCTGGATTCACCGCAATGATGTGCTTGGCCGACTCCACGTCGATACCGAAACGCCGCGCCGAGTACACGATGCCAGGGGCAGCCCACGCCACCATCTCGAGCTGCGCCCTCACTGCCACAATCTGGCCTATGCCCCCGCCGAGCGAGTGGGCCGTGATCACCGTCTTCGCGCCGTCGCGCGACCCGCTCGCGACGGCCTTCTCCAGCTCGCCCCAGATGCGCGCCTCTGCGCGGTAGATGCGGCTGAAGACCTTCAAGTCCGAGATCAGCCACTGCACCAGCGGCACGGGCAGCAGCGAGAGCACCGGCACGATCCTGTTGAGGCTCTGCAGCACCTGGACGGTGGCGAAGAGGTGCAGGCAGGTGTACGCGTCCTGCAGCGTGGAGGTGCCCTTGATGGCGAACACGCGGGTGCTCTGCCCCCTGCCGTGCCAGGGGGCGAAGTGGAAGCTGGCCCAGCGGGGCAGCGAGCTGTAAGGCGTGCACCTCTCCAGGGAGGCCCTCAGCCCGCTGCCCGCGAACGACTCGCGCAGCATGGCCGCCATCTGCCGGCAGCTGGGCTCGTACACCAGCCACGCCAGGGCGGCCAGGTCCTGGGGGAGTCAAAAAGGAGCGATACCGCTCCGCTGTACTCCCTGCGGACCTCTCCCGGGGCGCGCGCGTTCTGACCGGAATTCTGGGGCGATTCCAGCGGTGGCGACAAGGGCCTCCCAGGAGGCCAGAAACAGTCCAAGTCGAGGCTGGGGTAGCAGTCAGTACCTTCCCAAACATCGGGCGTCTCGATTGTTTCGAGACACAGGGCCCCCGGCCTCTCGACCAGTTCGCCCAGACCAGTCTTTCGTCACCAGTCGTGTCGTTTGTTGACGGCCCCGAGGCATGGCAAGGGGCCGGAGAGGCCGGAACCTATGAAAAGCGACGCCGGGTGTCCAAGGGCTCTCAATTAAGTTCGCGCTTCGCGCTGTGCGAAGCCCGAAGCGCGGAGAACTCCGCGCTCTCCCCGCGCCGCCCACCAGGGGAGAAGAGGAGGAGGAGGAGGAGGAGGAGGAAGGGGAGGAGGAGGAGGAAGGAGGAGGAGGAGGAGGAGAGGAGGAGGAGGAGGGAGGAGGAGGAGGAGAGGGAGGGAGGGAGGGAGGGAGGGAGGGAGAGGAGGGAGGGAGGGAGGGAGGGAGGGAGGGGAGGGAGGGAGGGGGAGGGAGGGAGGGAAGGAGGGAAGGAGGAGGAGGAGAAAAAAAAGAGGAGAAGAAGAAAAGGAAAAGGAGGAGGAGGTGGTTCCGAACCGCGAGGCGCGCAGCGCGAATAGCCAAGCGCCCTCGGGGGCGCACTCGGTGTCTGTTGGAGGCCTGAAAATGGGCACCGCCACCAACACAGGGGGTTGCCTCCACAGGGGGAAGACGGTCCCGGATTTCGGTGCTGGCGGTCACGTGCCGGTCGCCTTGGAAGCCAGAACACGACCACCCTCACCGAGATCGGGACCTTCTTCCCTCGGTGGAGGCACACCGCCGATCTTGGTGTTGGTGTCAACCTCCAGGCCTGCGAGTCTGCGTTTTGCCCTCAAGAGCTCCCAACTTCGCGCTTCGCGCTGCGCGAAGCGCGAAGTGCGACTAACTTCGCGCTCTCGCGCCGCCTCCCAGGGGAGAAGAGGAGGATGAGGAGGAATCGGAGCCGAACCGCGAAGCGCGAGGCGCGAATGACTTCGCGCCCTCGAGGGCGCCCTTGCCGATCCGCGAATAACTTCGCGCCCTCGAGGGCGCCCTTGGCCGATCTTGGTGTTGGTGCCAACCTCAGGCCTGCGAGTCTGCGTTTTGCCCTCCGAGGTCCAGCGCGCCGAGCGGCGCGCCAGGGGAGCCGAGGGCCGCGCCGCAGAGGCCGTGGCGGGGCGCGCTGGCGTTGGCCGCCCAGACCCGGGGCAGGGCGGGCCCGCCCGGCGCGGGGGCCTCGCGCCCAGCGGTCACGAGTGCGAGGCGCCAAGGATACACACCACCACCACCACGTCGATTCCACCTCCTCCACCCTCCTCCTCCTCCTGCTCCTCCTCCTCCTCCTCCTTCTCCTTCTCCTTCTCCTCCTCCTCCCTCCTCCTCCTCCTCCTCCTCCTCCTCCTCCTCCTCCTCCTCCTCCTCCACCCTCCTCCTCCTTCCTCTCCTCCTCCTCCTCCTCCTCCTCCTCCTCCTCCTCCTCCTCCTCCTCCTCCTCCTCCACCCTCCTCCACCCCTCCTCCTCCACCCTCCTCCACCTCCTCCACCCTCCTCCACCCTCCTCCACCCTCCTCCACCTCCTCCCTCCCCCTCGCCCTTCCCCTCCCCCTCCCCCTCCCCCTCCCCCTCCCCCTGCCCCTGCCCCTGCCCCTGCCCCTGCCCCTGCCCCTCTCCCCTCCTCCTCCTCCTCCTCCTCCTCCTCCTCCTCCTCCTCCTCCTCTCCTCCTCCTCCTCCTCCTCCTCCTCCTCCTCCTCCTCCTCCTCCTCCTCCTCCTCCTCCTCCTCCTCCTCCTCCTCCTCCTCCCTCCTCCTCCTCCTCCTCCTCCTCCTCCTCCTCCTCCTCCTCCTCCTCCTCCTCCTCCTCCTCCACCCTCATCTTCCTGGGAGAGGGAGGGGATGAAGGAGGTGGTGGTGGTGTATACCTTTGGGCCCCGCAATGAGGGGGCCGATGTGCTCGGGGATGACCTCGCGAGCGGCGAGCAGTGACAGGCGCCCAGGGACAGAGAGAGAGGAAAAAAAACAAAAAAACAAAAAACAAAAAAACGGCACACAACTCTAAAAAATTCCCCATGTGTTCGCAAATGCTTTCTTGATTATCATTTTCTCCACACGTCCCGGATGGTCCCGCATGCTCCGGCAAGTCGACGTTTAATCGTGTCTGTGGCGGTACTCGGTCGCACGGATATACGCTAGGTGCGGGGCATTCGCGAACAGAACGCCCCGTATCCGCGGAGTCGCGTCCGAAGGGCCTGGCCCGCGAGGCCGCGGGCACGGACATGTTGTACGCCCACGATGACCTCCATGCCGCCACCGCTGAGCGCGCAGAGCGAGACGAGGGTGAAGAACACGAGCACGAGGTAGAACGGCGGACCGGCGAGCTGGGGCAGGTACCAGCAGATGAGGCCGGACCAATGGACCACGGACACAAGCATCGCGCACCCAGTGATCCAGGCAGGAAGGTACTGGTAGACGCTCAGCCCTGCAGCGATGGACCAGAGGAGAAGGGCCAGGCCGTGCTTGCTGAGCTGGCGACGCTTCTTGACGACACGCGTTCGCAGCTCGCGGGCGCGGAAGCTCGCCCACTCTAGCTTCTTAACAGCCCAGCCCCACACGCCCCTTCTCACGGACACGCAGCTAGACACCTCCGCGGGGCAGTCCTCGAAGTAGTGGCCCAGATACTCGCAGCTCGCCTCCAGGGTCCCAGGGTAGATCTTGTGCACCTCGATGGCCAGGTGCACGTGCTGAAAGGCGATGTGAGCCTCGCCGTACCGCTGGGACTTGCCCACGGAGTCCGCGGCGACCATGGCATCGGCGAGCAGCGCGCTGACAGCGAGGACCACGGCAGAGAGGAGCGAGCCCTCCACGTAGCCGCCCATGAAGCTGGAGCCGCCCAGGCTCCTTGCCCTCAGAGCGTACAGGAGAGGCACGCCCTCCACGATGAAGATCGGGCGGCGCCGACGGACCAGCGCACCGACCCTGGCTGGTCCGACCCTGGGCCTGAGTCGGGCCTGTCCCTCCACAGGGGGAACATTCAAGAACAGTCGGAAATAGTCCGGGAAAAATGTTGACTATTTTGGAGCATTCGGGAATATTTTGGGGGACTTTTTATTTTTCGTCCAAAATCCCCCTGTAGGAGGACAGGCCCGACTTAAGCCTGGGCCCCGGATCGGGATGCACGCCTGCCTGGCCAAGCCAGGAGGGGGCACGCTCCCGTCCTGGGCCAAGATGGGCCTGGCCAGGATCGGTGAGGGGGTCAGCTGGCGTCGCCCGAGAAGAGGAAGACGCGGTCGACGACCTTGCACATCAGCCGCGCCGGTGGTCGGGTGGAAGACTGGCTGACCGCCGCCAGCACGCTGGCCATCAGCCACGCCAGCGGAGGGTTCCCGTAGGCGTCGACGACCAGGTCGCAGATCTCGTCCCCGAGGAGCGCTAGCAGGTTCAGGACGATGGGGAGCACCCAGACTCCGACGATCAGCTCCAGCGGGCGGCTCTTCTCGTCGGCGGCATCGCCCGCGAGGCTGTCCCCAACAAAGGAGGCGAAGAACACCTCCATCAGGCTGCCCGAGAACACGGAGAGGAGCAGTGCGAGGACCACCGACAGGAAGAAGGCCAGCCGCACGCGCAGCACCGAGGCGTACCAGGCGAGCAGGCGGCCACCGACCCTGTGGCCCCCCAGCAGCGCCCTGGCCATCACAGCCGCGCTGAGCACTTCCTCTGGGGCGCACAGAGAGATACTGGTACTGTATGTCCTCCTTGGAGGCGCGCGTCCGACCCGAGCATGCAGTAGACCCATCTTGTGGTATATCGTTTCCCGAGCGGTGTGGCCAGAAAGCGCCCGCCACGACGCATGTACGATAAGATTTCTCGGTGCGCGCGTCGCCCCTGGGTGGGGGAGGCGACGCACATATAGTATAAGTATGCTGAGGTGACGCCGATCCTCTGGGCTGTCCAGGTGCTGGAACTCCCGCTCGATGCGCTCCAGCGCCTTCAGCCGGAGCCGGGTGTAGCTCTCGGGGTGCCTGCCCCGCAGCTCTCGCTCGGCCCGCAGGACGCCCAGGAAGGCCTGCTTCGCCGCGCACAGCTCCTCGAGCGGCTCCTCGTCGGCCCGCGCCGCGGCCAGCAGCGGCTCCGCCAGGTTGTTGCCGCGGCGCTGCACCTGGCGTTAAGTCGGGCGTGTCCCCCTACAGAGGGATTTTGGGCGAAGAATAAAAGATACTCGAAAAACGCCCCCCTAAATACTCAAGAATTGTCAAAAAAATCGTCCCCTGACTATTCTTCGACTACTTTTGCATATTCCCCCTGTGGAGGGACACGCCCGACTTGACAGGACCTGGCGCTTGCGCCACAGGTGCCGGCGGGCCGTCCGCTCGTACTGCCGCAGCGCGTGCGGGGCCTTCTCCACGAGCTCGCTGATCCTCTTCGCCTCCGACTGCGGGATGCCTTGCTAAACAATCAAAGGGCCGCTAGTCTTTTGGGAACGGACCTGAGGTAAGAGGCACAAAGCATCAGGGATAGGTGGTCTTTTCAGCAGATCTGCCACAGCAGATCACCCTAGATGCGAAAAGATGGGGGGACCCGAGCTAACGGCCGATGGCTCGCTGTCTTGTCGGGGCTTGCCCTCGATGCTGCCTGGCTCCACCCTGGAGCTGTCGCGGCGAATGCCCGCCTCCATGCCCGTCTTCAGGTGACCCCTCGCCCTCTGCACGCACGCGTTGATCATGACCACATGCCGCAGGCTCAGGCGCGGGCTCTCCGAGGGGGGCGAGGTCTGAGTCCGGAGACCGGCAAATGCACACCTGCACACCACCACGGGTCCCCAGGAGGGCCTACAGCAGGAGCTCTACCACAAGAAGCCTTCCACAAGAAGCCCAGCCATGAGACCCCAGGGCGTCCACTGATTCTTGGTGCGGGCGCGTCACGTCTTCCATAGCAGAAACATCGAAACCAAACCCAGGGCACCCTGGAGGCAAGCAGGGTGCTTCCTGGCATGGGTTTCCACTGTACACACCACCGCAGGCCCCGGAAGGGCCCATCCGGGCCCTGAACTGGGTGTACGGCTGACGCGTCGGGTCGGACGAAAGGGGGGATAGCAAAGGTGGGGGTCAGGGAGTCTAAACAAGCGCGTCCAACTACTCGCAAATCAACTACTCGCAAATGGCCTGGATCCGCCGCTGGGGATGTACGACCCCTTACAATGAGGAAGACATGTGTATTCTCGGACGTTTGCAAGTAGGCACTCTGCGAGTAGTGGAACGCACGCGGTGAGAGCCAGATCGGATAGCTGGTCGTCCCAACGCCTCCCGGCGCTGGCGGCCGCCGTGCATCCGCAGGAAGCCACCGCGCCTTCGGGGCCGCCGAGACCGGCTGCATACCGCAGATTGCGTGCCCCCCCCCCCTTTCCGATCCCCGCCCCCTTTCGTCCGACCTGACGGCCGATGGTGACGACGTGGACTCTGGCCTGTGACACCGCGCGGACCGACCATTCCTGAACAATACAGTGGAGGCCAGCCCACGAGAAACTCCCGCCAGAAACTCGGCCCCGAGACCCCAGGACGTCCACTGATGTAGAGCGTGGGCGCGTCACGCCTTCCACCGAAAGAAAGCACCGAAACCCCAGAAACCCAGGGCGCCCTGGAGGCAAGCTGGAGGAGCAGGAGGAGGAGGAGGAGGAGGAGGAGGAGGAGGAGGAGGAGGATGCAGGGCGCGCTCATCTTTTCCTCTCCCGAGGGGCCAGAATCAGATTATGTAGGAATCGACAGCCAGCTGAGATCTCAGCGAGTTGGGAAGGCAGCGCAACGGATTCGGCTCGAGCCGAGGTCGACTGAGCAGGCTTCGCAACAGCACCGCCGTGAAAAGAAACGGGCTGCTGTGACACGGCAAGGAGGTGGAGGGGAGGAGGAGGTAGACTTGAGCCGCAACACCAGCGGCCGACAAGCACGCGCGCCCAGCAATGTACTTCGAAGAAGCTCGCTCTGCAGGGCGCGCTCATCTTTTCCTCTCCCGAGGGGCCAGAATCAGATTATGTAGGAATCGACAGCCAGCTGAGATCTCAGCGAATTGGGAAGGCAGCGCAACGGATTCGGCTCGAGCCGAGGTCGACTGAGCAGGCTTCGCAACAGCACCAATTCCCATTCTATGCCCTGGCCGTAAAGGCCGTCATCAGAGGGCAAGCATTACATAAAATCACTGGCACGCGAGTTGATTCAGACGACCTGCTTCGATGGCCCCGGCGGAGGCCCACAACCACTTAGCCCCTTGAGTGCACATGCCTAACGGATAGGGCTCGGCGCGGGAGGTCCATTTTTGAGACGACCCCGGGATTGCGCCGGAAAGATGGACGTGGGCCTCCCCAGAAAAATCACACACTCCATGGCAGGAGGAGCAGAGACGGGAAAAAGAGGGAGGAGCAAGCTGGAGGTGCCAGGCCAAAATTTTTGTGCGCTTGCGCCAAGGCACTTTGAATTGGCAGGAATCAAAGACATAAGCTCGGCAGGCAGGGTGAGTGGCCAATCTTTTCATGTTAGGTGTGAACCATGCGAGACTACTGCTGGGATTCTCAGCGACCGCAGGGACCCGGGCCCGAATACACGAGCCAACGATCCGGCACGTGGCGAGGAGGGAGCGGTTGCCCGCCAAGGCCCGCTCGAGGCCCACAGGGTCCAGGTCGGCGCGCCCAAAAAGCTGAGAGTGGGTTCGGTACCGCCCGCGAGATGCGACGCTCCACGTAGAGCAGGGAAAGGCCAGCCAAATCCCCCGGACCAGTTTGCTGCTGATCCACCCCACGGTCAGCTCCACGACCATGGGGTTGTTGAGATTAAAAGCGGGGTTAAACTTAGCGTCGACCTCGATGACTCCCCAACCGCCGCACTTACGAAGACCGCGGGCGATACCCCCAGCCCCAGAGAACAAGTCAAGGAAAACTTGGCCTTTGCGGGGAGCAGCGGCGGAGGCGGCCGAAAAGGCCTGAGACCATGCACGGTGGATGGCGTCTCGGCTCAGGCGGGTGGCGGAATCGAGAGTGACACCAGCCTTCCAGAGACCTGCCCCTCGGGCGGCGGCGCTCAGCCCCTGCGCCCTGGCGGCGCTTGGCAGCGCGGCCGCCCGGAGAAGAGGCCGGCGAGGTTGGCCTCGACCCACTCGCCGAACGCCTTGATCTCGGGGGACAACTTCTCGTCCGTGGCCAGGTAGCGGGTCCCCTTGCGGCACCGCCGTGTACTCGACTCGTTCAGGTGCCTGGATTTCTCCTGGACCGCTCCGAACTCCCCCACTTGGAACAGCACGTCGTGGGAGTCGGCCCCGTGGCGGTCCTGGTACGGGGGCACGTCCTCGAGCCCCTCCAGGCTGGCGCACGCGGCGAAATCCTGGCGGAACCTTGGACTGGAGGATGGCCACAGAGGCCTGTCCGCTTGGCTCCGCAACTTCAGGGCATTCAGGGCGGAGCTCACGCACTGCACGGCATCCGACTCTAGCACCATCCCCTCCTCGAACTGGCCCGTCTTGCTCCGATCGGGCAGCTCCTCGGGGAACAAGAAGATGGCCCACCGGTCGATCCGGCTCCGCCGAGCTGGCGCCACCTGGGAGCCACCCCTCACGCCAATCGAAGCGCTGGCCAACCTGAGGTGCGCGCCCCAGACGACGAGGAGGCCGAGGCAGCAATCGAGCAAGCCGCAACACACGCCGGCCCCGATGATCGCGAAGAACCCCCGAGTCCGACCGTCGAAGAACAGGCGGTCCAGATAGCTGGCGAGACCCCGGGCCAAATTGGCCACGGTGCTCATCCTCAACTTCCCCCCCCGGCTCCTGCCCAGGAAGTCGGTGTAGGACCGCTGGTACTGCAGCTGCGCCCCGTGCCCCGCTCGAGAGGTCTGCGGGAGCGTCAGGCCCTCTGCCGCAGCCCTGGAGGCTGCGGCCAGAAGGCGGCGCCGATGGGCCGCACAACGAACCTGCAGAGGGGCGGCTCGCGCCGTCCTCTTGGACCGCGCGGTCCGTCCGCCTCGAGCTGCAGCAGCTGCGGCGGCTCCCCGAACCAGGACTGCCCGAGCGACTGGACGAGGTGGACGAGCTGGCACTGCCACCCCCGCGGCCCCCGTCGTCGCCGACGGGCTCGACGTCGCACCGCGCCAGGCCCGCGGGGCGGGCCTCAGGATCGAGACCGCCACCGAGACCACAAAGCCCGAGCGGAGCTGCAAGCTGCCCGCGGGCTCGCTGCACGATGGTCCGCTCGAGCTCACGATCGAAGGCAGCGCTGGCCGAAGGGCTCGTGCCGGCCGCGCCTCCAGGCCTGACCCAGGCCGCCGGAGCATCGTGGAACGCCGGCCCGCGCGGGTCGCGCCTCCAGGCGCTGGCGCGGGCCGACAGGCTGCGAGAAGGATCGTCTGCAGGGTTCAACTCTGATGCAATCCATCGGACCACGAATGAAGTATTTGAGAGAATAGAAAGACACAATAACTCCTGACATGTTCGATTCAGCAGTGGGGAAGTCGAACGCCCCTTTCCCGTAGCTAAGACCACAGACATATTATCGCACAAAAGCAGATGACGGCGACCGAAGCTGTTGACGTTTCGTAGCTTGTGCCGGGCCCCCATCACCAGGGCCCGCCCCTCCGCCCGCATAATATTCTCCGACGAAGCGAATCGGCCGAACAAAACGGTGGACCAGGTGTCGAAATCCCCGATCTGCCCCCCATCGATGTGGAAGAAGTCGGTAACCCCACGGCGGGCTCTCACTTGGGAACTTCGGGGCTTGGAGGGCCCCTGAGGGACCAGCCCGAGACTCTGCTCCCGGGCGCAAATGGCATCCTCGACGCAGTATCTCCACCTCTCCGCACGGCTGGCCACGGCTCGAACTGCCTCCGAGTCCCAGGCCCGCTCGCAGACGCCGAAACCCCCGAAGTCGAACTCGGTGGCCCCGGAGGCGTCGGAGGCCATCGCGCACGGGTCGAACGGCCTCTTGGTGTCGACAGCGGCAAACGGCAGAAGTGCTGCGGCGATCCGCAGCTCCCGAGTCACACAACTCCAGAGACGCCACCGCTGCTCCCCGGCCATTTCACAAAAACGGAAAGCGCTGCTGAGGATAGACAAAAGCTCACGCTTCAGCAGGAAAGCCCAGGTTAAATGGCCCAAGACCCGGCGCAGCTGGACCCCGGTGCACCAGCCCTGGCGGCAGAGCTCCAAGAGCCCCAGGCGGATTTTCCACAAGCGCCGGGTCGAAAGCGAAATGATTCCCGAGCTGCGTTCGAACGTGAGGCCTGTGAAAGACTGCTGTTCAGACGCCCCGACCATCCCCTTGCAAATCAGACCACGAGATCCCAGGAGCTCGACGGCGGACGCACACCCGTCCGAGCAGCACTTTTCGCTGGCCCCGAGGAAAGCGACCCCGTCGACATAGACGGCAGCGAGAGGCCCTTCCTCGAGGCCGGCGGCTGCCCGTCTATCCTGGACAAGTCTGGAAGGGGGGAGGCCGGAGTCGAGAACAGCTTGTTCTACCATACACTGACAGAAGTATAAAGACCAGGACCACCCCATGGGTAATACGCGGAGGACGGGCGAGAGCTCCCCCGCCCCGCGAAGTTCCCCGGAGCTGCCCGGGCAAAGTGCCTCGAGGTGGCGGCAAGAGACAGGAGGGAGGACAAAATAATCTTCAATCCCTGCGGGCAGGCCGATACGATAGAATGCATTGTCGACGTCTGCCTGGCACAAAGAGAGCTCGCATTGATCTGGCACATACAAAGAATTCCATGCACTAGCCGTGGGCAGCTGAGAATACTCGTGCGAGTTGAAAAACTCGTTACTACCCCTAATATCGAATATCAGCCTCTGCCTGACGCCGTCACTCTTCCACACGAAGAACACTCCCAAGGTCGCGTCGAGGCGGCCCCTCAGGTTCACCAAACCGGCGGCCTGGAGGTCTAACACGAACTGGGCGTAGGTACCCTTCGCACGTAGCCGACTGTCGACGTGAGGCCTGAATTTCTGCACTACCTCCCGGCTGACACCGGGCCGCAAAAGATGCTGTCGCCACTCCTTCCAGAAACTTAAAGCCGCACCGCCGAGGCACCGGCCCCCCTCGGCCAGGACCCCGCCGGTCGGCAGCGAGACGAGGTCTCGCTGGTAAGGAGCCGTCTTCACCGGGTCGCCATACCCGGGCATGCTCCCGCACAGCTCACTGCAGGCTGCCGCGGGGCTCACCTCCGGGGCACCGAGTCGCTCCCAACCACGTCGGAGATGCTCGACACCACGGACCTGAGCAAGAGAAAGTTGGTGCGAGACCTGGGCCTCGCCGTGGTTGTACAAAAGGTTGAGGGCGGTCACCGACTCACGCACGCGCTCGTCGACGAGGGTCCGGCGGAGGGCCCGGCTGCGGACGCTGCGGCCGCAGCGGCCAGCGCCAGGCGGCTCGCGCGGGGCCGAGAGGGCGGCCAGGTTGATAGGCAGCAGCTCGCGAGCGACCACCATCCCGGCCAAAGAGCCGGCAGGGCACGCCCCGGGGCGGCCCGGCCGGCGGGCGGCGCCGGTAGGCTACTTGCCCCCGCGGCCGCCACCGTTGCCGCCTCCGGCATCGCCCTCCTGCTGGCCGCCGCCGCCTCCGCCGCCGCTGCCACGGCCCGCCTGGAACCGCTTGAGCTCCGCCGCCTGCTGCTGGATCTTCTGCTGCAGCGAGCCCTTGTCGTCGCCGGCACTGCCTGCGCAGCCTCCGCCGCCGCCGCGAGACGAGATGGCCCGCTCCTCGCGAAGCTCGCGCCGCTCCTCGAGCACGCCCGCCTCGCGGTGGAGCTCGGCCGTGATGCAGTCCTTGAGCTCCGGCGCGATCTTCGAATGGCCGCGCGTCTCCAGGGTCCCCATCATGAGGTAGTCGTCCTCGGCTCCGTCGAAGCCGTCGGGCCGGTCCATGGCCCTCTCGCGGTAGCGGTGCTCAATGAGCTGCGCCCGCCTCGCGATGTACTCGAAGAAGCCCAGCTCGCCGCCGTCCAGCTGGTCGAAGGGCATGCCCAGGCCGAGCACGCGCATGCACAGCTCGTGGTCGGAGACGCCGGGGTCGTCGGACGAGACCCCGGCCTCGTGCCCCCACCTCGTGTGCCGTGCCCGTGGATGTGCGCCCTGGTCCGCCAGGATCGGCAAGCACCAACGAGTGGTGTGCGGGCCAAGCACTGGCCGGACGGGCCAGCTCGCCTCGCTGAGGAGGTTCACGGCATCCTTGGTCGGACGGCACCGCTCCCCCTCAAACACCACCTTGATGCTGAACGACCGGGCGTCTAAGTCCCCGTCGCCTCCGAGCTCGTCACGCTTCACCCCTCTCACGACATGCGCCTCCGAGCCCATCGGTACGACACCGAACCCGCCTGCGACAGCATATCCGTCGGTCGCGCCACCGAAAGGCTCCATGCGCGCGGTGTCCGAGCCCGTCGCGGCGAGGATCTCCCCACAGTGCCCGTCGGGCGGCGTCGGCAGGGCTCCCTCTGAGACCTCCATGTCAGTCGGAACCTTCGCTGCTCCATCCCCTGACGGCGTTCCCGATGCTGGTCGCAATTGCTTCCCACGGAGCCGCCGGCTCGGGTGACCGCTGGAGAGAGCCTCGGGGCGGCAAAACCGCAAGGCTGCTACGTAGTCGAGCGCCATCGCCTCCCGGTCGGCGCCGCACACCGAGTGTCTCCTCCGCGCCTTCTGACCTTCGGAGGTGGAGTCGGTGGGCTGGCCCATCTTGTCGAGCACTACCACCCCAGCCAGAGCCCCGACCGCTAGGAGGTGCACCAAGATGTCCCCGTCTGGAGTGAGGCAACAGAACCACTCCGTCGCCAGAGCTGGAGGTGCTGGGTCGCCGACGACGTCGGTGTATTCCCCGGCCGAGCACTCCCAGATGATGATACTCACTTGCCAGTCCCGTCCGGCCTGCCACGGGACGCCGACATGTAGACCAGCCTCCATAGCCCACAATGCAGCAGCAGCACCCCGCAGCAGCTCCAATCAAGAAGCAGAGGGCGCAGACCCCTGCGAGGAAGCCCCGCAAGCTGCCCGTGAGCTCCGAGAGGAGGAGGCACCCACCTGCGTCCTCGTGCCCTGGTATCAACACCTGGACTGCCTGCGGCAACTGACTGAGGGCGAATGGCAAAACTTTGGCTCGAAGGAAAGAGATGACTCCCATGCGCCGCCCTCTGAATTAGACTTGAGCCGCAACACCAGCGGCCGACAAGCACGCGCGCCCAGCAATGTACTTCGAAGAAGCTCGCTCGGAGGAGGAGGAGGAGAAGAGGGAGGAGAAGAGGGAGGAGGAGAGGGAGGAGGAGGAGGAGGAGGAGGAGGAGCAGGAGGAGGAGCAGGAGGAGGAGCAGGAGGAGGAGGAGGAGGAGGAGGAGGAGGCCGCCGTAGCGGCCAAGTCGCCGCCCGTGCTTCCTGGCGTGGGTCTCCACCGCAGCCGCTGCCAGCAGCCGCAGAGACCGCTCGGGGTCGGCTCTGCGCGGGCCGCCCCTGTGGCCTTCGACCTCGCGCGCCCGCGCGCCCGCGCGCCGCCGCCGCCGCGCTGCGAGGAGCGCTTACATGAAGGGGCCCTGGGACACAGAAATAAATACACGCCAATAAAAAGATTCCCCATGATTTCCTATATTTTCTGGGTTTTTGTCTTCCCCCCCCCCCCACTTCCCATATGTTCCCATATGTTCTGGGGGATCGAAGATGAATTGTGTCTGTTTGTTCTTCCCCTCCTGATTACAGTCGGACTTGACTGGAGGGGACACGCGAGAGGACACAAGGCCCTTCCGAGGGCCACGTTGCCACAGAAATGCAGGAGGCATGGGTCGCAAGGCACAGGACACGAGGGCGCCCTTGATCTGGCAGGGTCGACCTACTGATCCGGGCCGCCTGTAGACCGCCCTGAACCATCACGGCTTTCGACCCAGACCCCCGACGTCATGACTGTTGTCATGACGTCGACCTCAAGAGGTCTGGACCCAGTCCCCTGGGACCAGTTCTGCAGCCCGAGTCGTTGCGTGACGGCCCCGAGGCCAGGTTGAGGGCCCCCAGGAATCAAGAGTCCGCCGGCCCTGTCGGCGCGTCTGAGGGGCTTGTCTGTTCGAGTCGTCGTCTCCGTCAGTCGTCGCCTCCATCGTCCGCTGTCCCTGCACCCTGCTCCTGAAGCTTACCAGCGAGAACAAGATCTAGCAATGTCGAGCCGAAGGGAAGCCCCTTCCCTTCGATTCCTCCCCCGGTGGGGGAGGGTAGGGAAGGTTCTGGGGAGGGTCCCGGGGGGGGGTAGGGGAGAGGGGGTCAGATACGCATCCCCCCCTGAGGGCCCTGGGGCCTCAGAAAATATGAAGGCACGCCAAGAGTGCCCCAAGAGGCCCCCGAGACGGTCCAATAGGGTCCCTAATCGCCAAACGATCGGGGTCTAAACCGCCATCACGCCCTCCAGACTGCCCAGGAAGCATGCAGGACGCCCCGAGAGAACTCGTCGATCGTCCGTTGTTGCGCTGTTTTTTGCCACGTTCTCGTTTTTGTCCACTTCCCGCCGCTCCAAGACGGTGCAAGAGGCCCCCGAGATCACCCAAAAACGGCCCAAGAGGTAGCCCAAAACGCCTCTAAGACGGCCCAAGAGGCCTCCAAGACGGCTCCAAGGGCGTGCCCAGACGGGGGACCCGAGCGGACATTTTGAGCCCTCGGCTCCGAGAGCCTCCCAAGAGGCCCCAAGAGGATCCCGAGAGGCCCCAAGAGGCCCACAAGACGTCGCCAGGAAGCCAGAAGTGGCCCCCAAAAGGCTCCCAAGAGGCTCCTAAGAGGCCACACGATTCCTCCCCAGAGGCCCTCGAGAGCCTTCCGAAGAGACCCCAGGAAGCATCCCCGAGGACTGTGGCCCACGTCAGAGTCATCGTCGTCGTCATCGCCGCCGCCGCCGCTACCGTCGTCGTATCCCTTCAGGGTCGGCGGCACCCGCCGTAAGGCTTCGCAATAGCGGAAAAACCTCCGTCGTGATTTTTCAATGACTCGAGGAGGTCTGGAACGCCACCAGTGACCCCGAGTCGGCCGCCTTCCCAAGACGGCCTTGAATCATGGAAAGGTCACGACGCAGGGCTCTTGGCCACTTTTGACCTCCGAGGGCCCTTACTGGGCCTCGGGGCCGTCAAAAACGACTCACGTTGAAAACCGGCCCCGGGGAATGGGTCGAGACCCCTGGGGGTCGACATCATGGAAAAAGCACGGCAAGGAGGAGGAGGAGGAGAAGGAGGAGGGAGCAGGAAGAGGAGGAGGAGGAGGCGGAGGAGGAGGAGGAGAAGGAGGAGGAGGAGGGAGGATACGCAGCCTGGGAGGGATCCGTCGCGCGGCGCGCAAACGGCCACTCAAACGGGGGGAAGACCAAGGCCCTCCCCCTGGCCTGCACAGGCGCTCACCCCATGCCCACCAAAGGATCTCGGCGGGGTGAGCGGCAGACGAACGAGCTTGGGAAGATTAGAAGCTCCTATTGGAAAAAATAAACGAGTTTATCAATCGAGTTGCAGCCAGTGCACCTCGGGGTCAGAAACTTGGAGCCTCCTCTGTCCTGAAATGGCCTCACGACGACGCAAGTCCGCAGGATGTCGGTTCGTCTGGAACCGATGGATATGGGAGGCCCCTCGCTTACTATATGGAGGAGGGGGGCACAAATCGAGCAGCGCAGACGCACCACCCGTGCTGATGGCCCCACACGATAGGCAGATTACAACCTGGCCAGGAGAGACGTGTAACTCATGCCCACGAGCACTCCTGGGTAAAACATCTCCCGATACAGGAAGAGGAAACTGCGGCCTGACACTCGGAACGCGAGAACCTCCTCTAGGCCCCAAACCCGTCGAAGCTTCGGGGGCCGCTCGACAAGAGGGTCGGGCGGAGGAGGGGGCGCCTGGAAGTCGCGCACAGCCTGGTGCAGCACGCCGTCGTCGGCGGGCGCAAAGCTGACCCCTCTCCCTCTGTCGTGAGGGGGAGGAGCGGAAAGGCGAGCCCGCACCACACGGGCAGGGGAGGGGGAGAGAGGGCGAGCACGCGCAGCAGCAGGACTCGCAGCCGCAGCAGAGGAAGCAGCGAAGGCGGAGGAGGAAGAGGAAGGCCCCAGAGAAACGACGGGAGCTCGAGCCCTCGCAGACTGAGCTCGATCAACATCGAAACTGAAGGATCCCCCCCCCCCACACACGACTCCGACGGCGGCCCAGACACAACCCCCCGACCGATCTCATCGTGGAACTGCGCCTCTTGGGCGATCATATCATCCAAATCGTGATTTGGCACACCGGTGCCCTGCTGAGAATTCTGAGATCGAAACTGAAGCCTGGCTCTCACCCTTCGGGCAGGAGGCGAAGCCAAGCGAGCACGGACAATGCGAAGTTGCCTCACCCCCGACGAAGGCGACGGCGGAGACGACATCACCCCCACCATCTCCGTCGCGAGAGGCAGGGACCAAAAGCGGGTCACCATCCTCGGACGGCACGCGCACAGTGCTGGAGGCCTCCATGGAGGCCGTGTCAGAAACACTCCGAAGGATCCTCGCACATAAAGTTATCTTGGCAGGACAACGGCGACGCGCGAAGATCTGTCGCTGCTTATCCGACCGAATGGTCTTAGAGCAGGAGGCGCACCGCCAGCCATTCTTATACTTAAAGAAAACGCGTTGCATCCCAGGATCGGGCGGGGCCTTGGCACGAGCGGCAGCAGCCGTCCGAGCCTTTCGTCGCTGCTCAAAACGGTCCTGACCTGGGGCAACCGTTTCACTCATATATCTAGTGTGAGACCTAGCCATCCAGACAAGGGACTTACGAGTGGCCTTATAAAGCCGCTTCATAAATAAAGCATCCGCCTGCCGAACCGCGTGAAGGTCCCTGCCCTGGGTGGCCGCAAAATCGGCCCAGCGATTCCCCCGAGCCTCAAAAGACATGCCTTTCTGATGCCCCGAGACACTTCTCTATGTCAACGATGGCGTGCAAACAAATCACGTCGTCCTTCTGTGCCTTCTTCTGCGGCGGGTGCGCTTCGCCATGAAGCAGCACTCGCGAGGCAACATCTGCGGCTGCCCTTCCAGTCCCTAGTGCAAGAAAAGGACGGCCCAGACGATTCGCCCAGGAACGAACGTGATCAATTCTGGCCTTAGCCCATACTCGAAGTGAACGGGCTTGGGTCTACTACTCAGGCAGCCCCGAAGCCATTCGACGAAGCCCTGACCTCGTGCCTGACCAAGCCGCCGCTCATCAGCAGCAGCACGTTGAGAGAGAACAGCAGCGAGGGCGCGCAGGAAGACGACGCGGTACGCCGACGGCTGCGCGAAGAAGCAAGTGATGTAGTAGACGGCCTCGTCGAGCTCACCGGCGTCAAGAGCTGCCGTGAGGCGGCGTAGCCTGCCGTGGCCGCCGACGAAGTCCAGCAGCGGCTGCCACGTCGCAACGTGTCGATCCATAGGCACAGGCCCATGTTTGGCCACAAGGTGGGCCAGGTCCTCCACGCGGTGCTGCAACGTGCGCAGCGCGCGGGTCCGAGCCGTACCCGCGGGCTGATGATGAGACAGAGCTCCGCCAGCAGTGGTCTTGCGGTAGGTGACCTCGAAGCCCCTGCCCTGGTACTTGTGGTACTCCGAGCAGTCGAACAGCGGCGCCAGCTCCTTCTCAACTCCAGAGTAAAGCTGTTGGCAGAGAAAGTCGAGACGTCTGTCACGCGACCGAGGGCCACCAGGCCCGAGTGACGCATCATCCCGCATCTTACTGACCCAGTCGATGCCAGGATCACCGAGGGGCACCGCATCGTCATCTTCATCTGAGTCATCAGCCAGACGAGGTTGCCGTGCAGGCTTACCTGGAAGAACACGAGGCCCACGAAGCTGCACGAGCTGTCTGGCTCTGGGGCGAGGCCCAATCTCGACCCTCATCGGAAAATTAGGCCTC